CTTCCCTCCTTTTTTCCCTCCGGACTCAGTTCCCCTGGAAGCTGTATGGTTCGTTTCAAGATAGTAAAACCATATATTTTGATAGGAAGTACTATATAAAAGCAACAATGACAACAGATTATTTAATTCTGAGGCCCAGAAGTGTTAAATAAATTGTCCAAAGTCACACAGGAAGTGAGAATGTTTGAAGAAACACAAATGGTTCAGTCTGATTAGCTACTCAGGAAGCTGAGATCTGAGGATCACTGTTCAAAGCCAGTCTGGATAGGAAAGTACCTGAGAGTCTTTTTTTTTTTTTTGATTGGTCGTGGGGCCTGAACTCTGGGCCTGGGCGCTGTCCCTCAGCTCTTCAGCTCAAGGCTAGCACTCTACCACTTGAGCCACAGCGCCACTTCCGGCTTTTTTCTTTTTGCTTATGTGGTGCTGAGGAATGGAACCCAGGGCCTCAGGCATGCAAGGCAAGCGCTCTACCACTGAGCCACCTTCCCAGCCCTCCAAGTACCTGAGAGTCTTATCTCCAATTAATCAACAAAAAGTTGGAAGTGGAGTCAAGGCTCAAGTGACAGTGTTATCCTTGAGCAACAATAAAAGCTCAGGGCCAGAGATACAGAACATACACAAAAAAGTCTGGAACTTTGAGTCTACTAGCTATTCTGAAGGCTGAGGTCTGAGGATTGTGGTTCAAAGCCAATGCAGGCAGAAAATACGAGATTTATCTTCAATCAACCGGCAAAAACCTAGAAGTGTGGCTCAAGTAGTAGAGTGCCATCTTTGTGCAGGAAAAAAAGAATCTGGAATCATACTGGTGTGGTGGTATGTTTAATAGTAGCACTTGGGAGGCAACACAAGTCTCACAAAACTAAAAACTTACCCTCTTAACTTAGCCTTCCCCTCAAAAAAGGAAAAAAAGTAGTACAGTTCCCAGGCTCTGAGTTCAAGCCATAGGACCAGCACAAAAAAAAAATTCACCCCCACCCCCACTAAAACAAGTGCATTTCAATACAATGGTAAATTATCATATATAGCAAAGTCAATGACTGACAAGCAAATTTTGGCAGGCAGGAGAAAAAATTTACTTAGACTAGGGTACTTCAACTTCGGCACACTGATATTTGGTACTAGAACTTCTTGTTAGGTGGTATCCAGTATATTCTTGGATGTTTAACAGCATCCATGAGCCACACCAAATATATGCCAGTAGCACTAGATTCCCCTCCCTTTATTTAAGAACCACTGCTTTGTTAAGAGTACATAGGCTAGCCAGGTGCTGGTAGCTCATGCCTGTAATCCTAGATACTTAGGAGGCTGACATCTGAGTACTGTGGTTTAAAGCCAGCCCAGGCAGGAAAGTCTGTGAGACTTAACCACTAGAAAACTGGAAGTCAGGGCTGGGAAGGTGGCTCAGTAGTAGAGTGCTTGTCTTGCATGTATGAGTCCCTGGGTTCAATTCCTCAGCACCACATAAGCAGAAAAAGCAGGAAGTGGCACAGTGGCTCAAGTGGTATGAGCGCTAACCTTTAGCTGAGGGACAGCGCCCAGGCCCAGATTTCAGGCCCTATGACCAGAAAAAAAAAAAAAAGTGCACTTAGGATGGGGGTAGGGGGAGTGTTATTCAAGTGATAGAGTGCTTGGTTCCACAGGCCCTGGGTTCAGGTGCTCAGTGTCACAACACAAAAACAAACAGGAAAAATTAAAACTCACAACTAGAGCTAGGGGCTGGTGGCTCACACCTATAATCCAAAATATTTAGGAGGCTGAGATCTGAGGGCTGTGTTTGGAGGAGAGCTGGGGCAGAAAGTTCCATGAGACTTTTAGCTTAGAACAAGCTGGATGTGGTGCGGTGGCTCAACTGGTAGCACAATCCTTGAGCAAAAAATGGGACAGTTCCCAGCTCTGAGTTCAAGCCGTAGGACCAGCACAAAGAAATTCATCCCCCCCATTAAAACAAGTGCATTTCAATACAAAATTAATAAATATGAATTTTTCTTTGTCAGATTTTTTTTTTAGGGGTGTAAAACAACTTGCTCTCCTACCTTCAACTTAAGTTTTCTCTGAATCAGGGAAATGAATGTTCTCCAGCAGTTCTAACATCACAGCTAACTATTCAAAAGGATAGAATGTAAACATTTAGGGCTCAAGGGTAGCTCAGGGGTGGAGGGCTCACATCACACTTACAAGGCTGTAGGTTTGCTCTCTTTCCTGGAGAGAAAACAAAAAGAACTAAAAGTGCATACTTCTATTGAAACCTTGCAAGGCATTCCATTAATAAGATTTTTATGGTATCAACTAAAGATACATTCAAGCTTAAAGGGAAAGGAATAGCCTTTCTTTCTTTCTGTCAGTCTTGGGACTTGAACTCAGGGCCTGGGCACTGTCTCTGAGCTTCTTTTGCTCAAGGCTAGCACTCTACCACTTACGCCACTTCTGGCTTTTTATATGTATGTGGTACTAAGGAATTGAACCCAGGGCTTCATGCATGCTAGGCAAGACACTAAGCCACATTCTCAGCTCCAAGGAATAGCCTTTCTATGAAGAAAAAGCTCAAAGAGGGGCTGGGAAGGTGGCTCAGTGGTAGAGCGCTTGCCTTGCATGCATGAGGCCCTGGGTTTGATTCCTCAGCACCACATAAGCAAAAAGAAAAAAGCCGGAAGTGGCGCTGTGGCTCAAGTGGTAGAGCGTTAGCCTTGAGCTGAAGAGCTGAGGGACAGCGCCCAGGCCCAGAGTTAAGGCCCCACAACCGGCCCCCCCCTCCCAAAAAAAAAAAAAAAGCAAAGAAAAAGCTCAAAGAAACAAATAGACATTTTTAATACTAAAGTGGCTTGTGTGTGTGTGTGTGTGTGTGTGTTGTTGTTGAGCTTGTGCGCTCAGAGCTCTTGCTCAAGGATAGCATTCTACCATTTGAGCCACAGCTACACTTCCAGTGTTCTGGTAGTTAACTGAGATACCAATCTCTTAGATTGCCCAGGCTGGCTTTGAATCGTGATCCTCAGATCTCAGCCTCCACAGTAGCTAGGATTACAGGCATTGTCGCTAATGCTCGGCCTTCACGTGGCTTGATTCCTTATACCGTCAAACACTTGCATCCCAGCCACTTTGTTATTTGTCAGAGGATGATGCTAGTTACCATGTTTAGCAAAGGCCGTGGTTGGCTTTGGAAGCAATCTCGACATGAACTTCGGCTGCGGCTTCCGCTCAGACGCGCAGTCCCGGGCCTGGATCGCAAGGCCTCGGACCCCAGCACGAACTGAGGTGAATGGGCCGAAGCCCCCGGCACGGGCCTGCCAGGCGCACTGGCCGACGGGAAACCGCTCAGGACCCAGGGGACTCGGGGACGGCGCGGAAGTCACCCCTGCCGCGTCGCTTTTACTCGTACTTACTTTTTTAGCTCAGGAGGGTGGGCTTTGCTCATGGTTTCTAATCGGCGGGCTCAGAGATGCTTTGGGACCGAACTTGCTGCCTCCTTCACGCGCCCGCGGCAGAAACGACCGTTGGTCTGACGTCACGACCCTTCGTGAGCAGCCTCGCGATACTTAGAGTAGGGCTGTACCTGTCCGTCAACCACCGGCTTCCGGTTACGTCCTCCAGTGATTGGCCAGGACTGAGAGGCGGGACTTTGATTTGTTTGCACGCTCGTTCAGGTTCTGAGTCACGCGGAGTCTTTCACGAGTGTGGACAGGGGGAAGAGCAACCACGTGATCTTTACGTGTGTACCGAATGAAAATAAACCCTAATGGTTGTCCGGCATGTATCTTCGCGGCATGTAGGGGGGCCAGCCTGACAGTTAATGGCCAGTGTACACCAGAAGAAAGGGACCGGGCCGGTCTCCAGGAATTGCAGTCTAGAGCTCAGAAGTGTGTTCCCGACCGCCCACCCCTTTTGGAACTCTCGCCTCCAGACCCCACGTAACGCACCTTGTCCTCACACGAATACTCAACTTTCATAACAAGTGTAACCTTACTAGTAGAGTTCTCAGATTACAGCTTTTTTTTTCTCCTCTCATAGTATTGGGGTCTGAACTCCGAGCTTTCAGCTTCTAGGCAAGGATTCTATTAGTGCCACTGTTAGCCATGGGTTTGGTGATTTCAAGTAGGGTCTCATACTTCAAAACTTAACTTCAATCCTAGCGATCAGGGTTGGCTAATACTTAAATATAACGGGCAGTAAAGGTTTTAATGTCATTTATTTTGTACTCTGCAATTTTCTTTTGGGGTGGGGGAGGGTTGGTCGTGGAGCTTGAACTTTGGGTCTGGGTGCTGACCGTGAGCTCTTTCAGCTCAAGGCCAGCACTCTACCACTTGAGCCACAGTGCTACTTAACGGTTTTCTGGTGGTTTACTGGAGATAAAGAGTCTCACAGACTTTCTTAGGCCAGGCTGGCTTTGAACCACAATCCTCAGATCTCAGCCTCCTGAGTAGCTAGGATTACAGGTGTGAGCCATCAGCACCAGGCTATACTCCAAAACTGTGATGTTAAGAATTCTCTAAAAGGTTGAAGTGGTCTTTTCCACCACTTGCTATTATTTAACTGTAACTGCCATGGATATTAGATTTCACTTTTTAGCCTCACAGAGAAATTTCTTTTAGATAAGGGATGTCTCTTTTAGTGAGCTTCAAGTCATATATTTATACATCAGTCCTCCATCTAAACTATAACACGTAATTTCCATTTCTTTGGATATCATAAGAAATTTATTTCACATATAACAAGAAGCATATTGGGAAAGTTAAATAGTCATCATCTAGATAGTGGGAAAACAATATACGGTCATTTAAAATCATACCACTAGGAAAATATATATATTATAGCCTTGTCAGAGCAAACAGGCTATATTATAGTTTCAAGTAATAAGCTGGTTTAAAAAGTAACATGGTCCCCACTGAAAAGGTGCCATACTTTGCTAGAGCAGAAACACCACATTTGGTAAAGATTCCAGGCAAACTGGTATTTGGTAATGAGTCTGTGTCTATGTTCTTTGCTATAAGGTTGTTGCAGCTTCTCTTAGCTTAAGTTGCTTAATTTTTGAACTTTCTGTGCCCACAGGATGGTATCAATTAGGCTCTTAATTCAGGGGCTAAGTAAATAATGCTGGGTTTAGGCTTGTATTCTATTTGTTCTACAAAATTGAGGGCTTTTGGGTTCTAGTATGTTACAGTTCTCTCAACTAGACAATAGTTCCTATTTTAGTGTTTATTACTGAATGCTGTATTTATGTATCTCTTTTCCTTGCAATGGGAAGTATCACTGTCAAGACCATCCCATCAATCTGCTACAAAAAGCCTCAGGGGTTATTAGCTAGTGGAGGAAGTCTGTAGGCTGAAAAATGCAATGTCAGAATTTCAAATTTATATCTTAATGGCAAAAGGAACCATTTAAGTTCCCATTCAAACTATTATTTCTTCCAAGTCTGTATCTTAAATCTCATGTTCTTGTATATAAAACAAAACCAAGCAAAACTAAAGATCCAGAAGCATTTTTTCCCCTTCTAAATTAATCATCCGCTGGAATTTGCTTTACAATTCATGGAAATTAGTGTTGTGATACTTACAGTAAACAGGAGTGGGCAATAGACACACCACCCTCAAACTTCACCAGATTAGAGTTGGGTTATAGGAAAATGCCATCTTGTGTAATAAGAACAATTTGGTACGTGGAGGATCTCTGGCTTGGTACATGGAGACCTCTACTGCCAAGAAAAGCACTTGCCATATGAAATTTAGGCTCTAGAACACTCTCCCATTCTATCATGACTGAAATTTTAGCACCAATGTTTTCCATTTCACTTTCTATAATTAAAACACAAAAGAACCAGGGTCCACAGGCAAGTGAAATATGCCCGAAACTTGTTACCATCCTTAGTTTCTTCATTTTAAACTTTGCTTAAAAGACTAAGATTATTCCCATTTCTCTTATTAAATAGATTCCCTGCCCCAAGTCCCATGGTCACTAGCAAAGACTTTTATTTTCCAATGGATGAGAGAGACTCCTTCATCTTCTTTGTCATAGTTGGGATGAGGTGCATGTGGTCATCCACACACTTGGTCACACAACTGTCCAGCTGCCGTTTTACCTGAAGCTCCTTATTCCCTGCATCTATTGAATCTTTGGCTTTGTCATTACAATGCATGGTGCATCGGGCCAGGCGGTCCTGTGGCAAAAAAAACAACAGGAAAGAAATGGCTGAAAGGCTAGGCATCATTTACTGAGTATTGACCATGTGGTCAGGTGTTGACATGTATTATCTTACCAGTGAGATCAACAAGGTGTGAAAATTATTCAAGAGGCTGCGATCTGAGGACTATGGTTTGAAATCAGCTGGGGCAAGAGAGTCAGTAGTGAGACTCTTATCTCCAATAGATTACCCAAATAACCAGAAGTAGAGCTGTGGCTCAAATATAGAGCACAAGTCTTGAGCAAAACAAGCTCAGAGACCAGGTGTAGGTCCTGAGTTCAAGCCCCAGGATGGGCAAAAATAAAATTGGAGGACTGTGATTCAAAGCCAGCTTAGTAAAGCCCAAGAGACTTCATCTCCAAAAATAACCAGCAAAAACCTGGGCTGAAAAGGTGGGTTAAGTGGTAGAGAACCAGCTGAGCAAGCAAAAGGTGTAGTTCAAGCACCAGAACTAGAAGAAAAGATGCTATCAGGAGGACTCAGCTCAAACACGTCTAGAAAACAATGAGAGAATAAATTGTACACAAGATTAATACTTAAAAATATCTTGAGCCTGGAGTAGGTGGTTCATGCCTGTAATCCTAGCTACTTAGAAGGCTGAGATCTTAGGATTTCGGTTCAAAGCCACCTTGGGCTAAAAAAGTCCATGAGACTCTCCAAGTAACCACCAGAAAAGCGGAAGTGGCACTGTGGCTCAAGTGGTAGAGTGCTAGCCTTGAGCTGAAGAGCTGAGGGACAGCGCCCAGGCCCAGAGTTCAAGCCCAACTGACAAAAACAAACAAACAAACAAATAAAAAAACCCAGAACAACAAAACTTGATTCTTTAATGTCTGTCCTTGCTACAGAAAACCATTCAATTCAACTAAAAGTACCTATCAAGCATCTACTTTATGCAGGCATTCTATTAATGTTATGCAGCAGTTAGAAATGGGACAATGATCAAGGACAGACTGGGCACTGGTATGCCCAGAGGCTGGATTAGGGAAAAGCCAATAAAAGAGGCCAAGAGTTTTGCAGGTGTGAGAGAGGTAGAAAACCAGGAGTAAGCTGTTGCAGCAGCACAGTGGAAAAGTGAACATATACCTGGAAACATATACCACAAAGAGGATGGAAGGAGAAAGTCGCAGAGCAACCAATGAATCAATTTCTTTCTTCCTTTTTTTTTCTTTTGGTGTTGGTATTGGAGCTTGAATTCGGGGCTTTGCCCTCTTGTTAAGCCTTCTGACTTAAGGCTAGAGCTCTATTTCTGGAGGTAGTTAATTGGAGATAGGAGTCTCCTTCCTTGCTCAAAGAACCAAATTCTTAAAGACCCCCTCTATAAAATTAGCCATCAAAATGAAAAAAATCTTTAAGGTTCATAGAGAAGTTAATACCTTCATAATGGCAATATATCTTTTTTTTTTTTTTTTTGCCAGTTGTGGGGCTTGAACTCTGGGCCTGGGCGCTGTCCCTCAGCTCTTCAGCTCAAGGCTAGTGCTCTACAACTTGAGCCACAGTGTCACTTCTGGTTTTCTGGTGGTTAATCAGAGATAATAGTCTCACAGTATTTCCTGCCAGAGTTGGCTTTGAACTGTGATCCTCAGATCTCAGCCTCCAGAGTAGCTAGGATTACAGGTATAGGCTAACGGTGCCTGGCATTAATCTATTTTTGAACTGGTACTTTTTCCCTCCCAATTGAACTCAGGGCTTAGGAAGTCTCTAAGCTTTCTCTATCAGAGCTGGGACTCTTACCACTTGAGCCACAGCTCCATTTCTGGATTTTTGTTGGTTAAAGTACTTTTCTATACTAGGTGACTTCAAACTGTGATCCTTAGATCTAAGCCTCCTGAGTAGCTAGAATTTCAAATGTGAGTTATCAGCACACAGCTATAATGGCAGTAACTTTGAAAAGTTTTTATTTTGGGCTGGGAAAATGGCTTAGTGGTAGAGCGCTTGCCTTGCATGCCTGAGGCCCTGGGCTCAATTCCTCAGCACCACATAAAGCAAAAATGAAAAAAGCCGGAAGTGGTGCTGTGGCTCAAGTGGTAGAGCGCTAGCCTTGAGCTGAAGAGCTGAGGGACAGCACCCAGGCCCTATGACCCTACTCCCCCCCCCCAAAAAAAAAGATTTTATTTTAAAACAATGTAAAAGCATATCCCACTATGTGTATTCTATTTATTAATATATATTTATTAATAGGTGTGGGAATGAAACACTGGTTCACAAAGCACTGTTTCCAGGTCTCATGAGATATAGAGACAGGAAGTAAAATGATGTGAGGAACCCTTTACTCCTGAGAGAGGGAAAAAGGAATACCTTGGCGGGGTCTATGAGGCAGGCATCATGTGTTAACAATAACGTTTCATATAAATGCCAACTTTGAGCAACAGGGACTGCTCTCTGTGTGGAGCAAGTAGTGGCAGTCCTGGAGGGAGGTAGAAGTCTACAAAACAGCGGTAGGGTCTGCACCTGTGGTCAGAGTTAGTGGCACACTCCTGTAATCTCAAATCACTTGGGAGGTGGAGGCAGGTGAATATCAACTGTGGTGCTAGCCTGGATATTCTATAAAAGGGCTATTACTTTTTAAAAAAAAATTATATATATATTTTGCACGAGTACTATGGCTTGAACTTGGGGCTGCATGCTCGCAGCAGGCTTTAGTGCTCATGGCTACTGCTCTATTTGAGCTATACCCTCCCAGGGTTTTTGAGACTGGGTTTCTTCTGCTGAGCTTCCTTTAAATGGTGATGACTGCTGGGTGCCAGCAGCTTATGGCTGTAACTCTAGGTCCTCAGAAGGCTTGGATCTGAGGATCACCTTTTGAAGCCAGCCTGGGCAGGAAAGTCCATGAGACTCTCATCTCTAGCCACCAAAAAGCTGGAAGTGGAGCTGTGGCTTAAATGGTCAAGTGCCCAGACCCTGAGGTCAAGCCCAGGTACAAAAACAAAAACAAATGGTGATCCTCTAAGTGTCACTCTCCTAAGTAGGATTTAGAGGCATGCACCACTGGCATCTGGCTTTTGTTTTAAAAAGGAATTAATATACATCTTAGAGATGTATGTATTCACACAGGCTTTGGTGTTTAACCACAAGAAAGGCCTAAGAACCTTCCCTTTTCCATCACTGTTCCTACTTAACACTCAGCTTCCAAGACTTCTTCCAGAATGCTTGTTATCTCCTGTGAAAGTGCACTTCAAAGCCTGGAGACGGCTACTCTTTGGGATATTCCTCACCTGGAACTTTTCCAGCTCACTGGTCACCAAGGCCTGTGCTTGAGCCAGAGGTGCATGGCAGCGCTCGATGCACTGGTGCACCTGTTGCATGGACGCCTGGTTATCTTCACAGCAGGTGGCACTGCACCGGAACATGAGGCCCTGGGAAGGGAAGGAGTGAAGAATTGGCTTTGGTAGGAGAGCCTCTAGGACAGATGACCACTGTTCTTCGAAGCTTTGGAGGATACATCTTTTAAACGGCACTGGGGGATTGAAGGCTGACCTCCCGCACACTAGCATTGGAGCCATGTCCCAGTCCAGGGAGCAATGTTTCTATGTGCACCTCCCTTAGAGATCAGCATGAGGACCTTCACAATCAACTCTGGGAAAACTCTGCCTACTGCGGTTTTACCGCCCTACCCCTTCCTTAAAAAGTACGTGCTGGTACTGGGTTATTTCTGCACAAGGGTGTGTGTGTGTGTGTGTGTGTGTGTGTGTGTGTGTGTGTGTGTGTGTGTGTGTGTGTGTGTGTGTGTGTGTGTGTGTGTGTGTGTGTGTGTGTGTGTGTGTGTGTGTGTGTGTGTGTGTGTGTGTGTGTGTGTGTGTGTGTGTGTGTGTTGGTATTGGGTTATTTCTGCACAAGGGTGTGTGTGTGTGTGTGTGTGTGTGTGTGTGTGTGTGTGTGTGTGTGCGTGTTCTATCACTTGAACCACGCCCACACTTTCTGGCTTCTCGCGGGCTAAGTGGAAATAAGTCTCAGGGGCAGTCTGGTCTGACTAGCTTCCAGCCCGGATCCTCAGGTCTCAGCCTCCTGAGTAGCTAGGATCACAGGCTAGCTCACAGCTAGCTCACAGGCGCTCGCTTTCCTCAGGCTGGGTGGGGCAGATCAGATAAAGCCGAGTACGTCCAGAGCCCAAGGTTCAGAGGTCGGCCACGTCGAAGAATTAGGTCCCACCAAAGGGCAATCATGACTCCAGGCGCCGTGCGAAAGAAACGCCACGTCCGGCGAGGACGGCAGGACCCAGCAGCCCACCAGCCCCTGAGGGGGTCAACGCACACAGCAGTTTGGAGCAACAGAACCCGGCCAGGCCTGGCCACGGCGGGGGCGGGGGCGGGCCCGGAGCGTCCCCCCTCCGGCCTTCCACCTCGGCGGCGCCCTTCCTGCGCCCCAGTTCACCGAGGGCGACCGGGGTCACTCGGGAGGGGAGGGCGGGGGCCAGCGCCTGACACCGGATCTGTTACCTCCCTCCTGGGCTGGTGGGAAACGGCCTTGCGCGTGGCCAGGACCCAGGCCTCGCCCGCCCGGCCCACGGAGGCCCGGCGACCCCAGGGGCGGCCCCGGCGCGTCCGCAGGGAGCGGACGGCGTGCCGGCGGACAGGGAACCCCGCGACAGGGGCTCCGGGCCCGGCCCGGCCCCGTCCACACTACCTGCATCTTCCGGATGTTCTCTCTCTCCACACTCTTCACCATGGAGTCCACCGCCTCCTGCACGCGGAGCTGCTGCACCTCCGCCATGGCAACCCCGCGCTGCGCCGCGCTGCGCCGGCGCCCACATGGACTCGCCGCTTGTCCCGCCCCCTGCCGCCGAGTCCCGCTCCGCGCGATGGCGCGCCTGCTCTGCCCGGGCCCACGCCGCCCCCTGGCGTCCCAGAGGAGTAACTGCACGCGGTGCCGGGCTCGCGCGCAGAGGTTTCCAGAGGGTTGCTGTCCTGGCTTTCTGCCTCCTTACCCCCTATTTCTTTAAACGCCATCTCTCTCTCTCTCTCTCTCTCTCTCTCTCTCTCTCTCTCTCTCTCTCTCTCTCTCTCTCTCTCTCTCTCTCTCTCTCTCTCTCTCTCTCTCTCTCTCTCCCCGCTCTCTCTCTCTCTCTCTCTCTCTCTCTCTCATCTATCCTGTCTGTCTGTCAATCTATTTTCTGTTGTGGGGCATGGTTGCTCCCCCTCCCCACCCCCCCTTTTAAGGCTGGCACTCTACCACCTTTTTACTGGTTAACTGGAGATAATCTCAAAGACTTTCCTGTCTGGGCTGTCTTTGAACCAGGATCTTCAGATCTTAGCTTCTTGAGTAGCTAGGATACAGGAGTCAGCCACCGGTGCCCAGCTTAAAAAGAAGTTATTTAGCTGGACGCCGGTGGTTCATGCCTAAAATTCTAACTACTCAGGATGCTGAGATCTGAGGATCATAGTTTGAAGCCAGCTTGGGCAAGAAGGTCCGTGAGACTCTTATCTCCAATAAACTACTCAGAAAAAGCCGGAAACTGGCACTGAGGCTCAAGTGGTAGAGCACTATCCTTAAGCAAAAAGAAGCTCAGGGACAGTGCCTGGGCCCCGAGTTTAAGTCTCAGGATTGGCACAAAAAAAGTTAGTTGGTGTGTTTAACATTCAGATCGCATGCCCAAATTCTTAGATGTACAGCTTGATGAATTTGAACAAGCTTAATGACTCTTTCCAGTCTCTGTTCTTTCTCTGAGTTTTCCCTATCTCTAGCTCCACTGATCTCTTTCCTGTCATATAGATTATATTTTCTCATTCTAACGTTTTATACATATGTGATTATTCACTACGTTCTTTTCGTGTGTCTAGCTTCTTTAAGCAGAGTGCGTTTGAGACTTAGTCATGGTTTGGGTTCCTTTTTGTGGCTATTTCATTGCGTGAAATAATGTACTTTGTTTACTCATTCCTTGGTGGACGTTTTTTGTCATATTTAGTTATTAGCTTTTTTTTTTGATGAAAACAGTGACTACATCCATGCAAGACTTTTGTACAAACAGATTTTCCTTACTCTTGGGATCTAGAAGTTGAATCATAGGGTAGTTGTACATTTACATTTATTTTCAATGAAAAAAAAATTAGCTTTTAAAGCAACTTGTTGGCAGGGCTACAGATAACTATTAGTAAAATAAGCACTTTTTAGTTTTGTCAGCCTGGGGCTTGAACTGAGGGTTTTCATGCTTGGTAGACAAGTGCTCTACCACTTTAGCCAACCAACAGCATAAAGCAATCTATGAACTCCTGGACGAGTTCTGTCTGCCCTTCCCCCATCTTTACTAGCCTGTGCATTCATTTATCAAATACATATCAGCTGCTGGGATAGGTAGGGCCAGGGCAGAGAGGAACAATATTAGGAAGTGGTGGGCAGTTGCTGACGGAGTAGTGTCCAGTGGTCTCATTGGCAAGAAGGAAGTGAGCATCCAGGTACTCAGTTGTCTCAGAGGTAAGGCCTGCATCCAATCTTCAGATTGAATGAGTGGGCCTTTGCTAAGCACTTAAGAATGCCAGGCCAGGTATGGGAGGCTACTGAGGACAGAAGAGAGCTTGGAGCTTTAGGGGAAGCTCTTGGAGAAGAAAAGGAGTGGGTGAGTGGATCCCAAGGGCAAGTGGGCTTCAGGCACTTTCAACCATTGGCCACTAGATGGCAGGCAAACTCTGGTTTCAGGGTAGTGGCAGCCTTACAACCCACTGTCCACTCAAGAAAGGCCTTTGTTCTTTCATCACTCTCTCCTAAGTCCTCAGAAGTCCCCAGAAACCAACAGCAGCAGAGGCCAACAACCTCTTTCCCAATGCAAGCCAGGCTACAGGTGACTCCCAGAAGCGGTTGGAATCAAGTGTAGAAAGGTATTTTCTAATAGGCCAGCCAGTGCTTTTCAAGTGCTTCTTTTGAATTATCTCATTTAACTCCCACAATTCTCTGGGGAGGTAGGTACTTCCCCCGTCACCTTTTCTTCTTCTTCTTCTTCTTCTTCTTCTTCTTCTTCTTCTTCTTCTTCTTCTTCTTCTTCTTCTTCTTCATCTTCTTCTTCTTCTTCTTTCTTCTTCTTCTTCTTCATCTTCTTCTTCTTCTTTCTTCTTCTTCTCTCTTCTTCTTCTTCTTCTTCTTCTTCTTCTTCTTCTTCTTCTTCTTCTTCTTCTTTCTTCTTCTTCTTCTTTCTTCTTCTTCTTCTTTCTTTCTCTCCTTCTTCTCCTTCTCTCCTTCTTCTCCTCCTTCTCCTTCTCCTTCTCCTTCTCCTTCTCCTTCTCCTTCTCCTTCTCCTTCCTTCTCCCTTCTCCTTCTCCTTCTCCTTCTCCTTCTCCTTCTCCTTCCTCCTTCTCCTTCTCCTTCTTCTTCTTCTTCTTCTTCTTCTTCTTCTTCTTCTCGTCTCCTCCTTCTCCTTCTCCTTCTCCTCCTCCTCCTCTTCCTCCTTCTTCTTCTTCCTCCTCCCTCCTCGCTTCTTCTGTCATCGTTTAATATGTTCTTCTTTTTTGCGTCGTTGTTATCGCTTGGCTTGCCTTCTTCCTCCTCCTCCTCCTCCTTCTTCTTCCTCCTCCTCCTCTTCTTCCTCTTCTTCTTCCTGTTCTTGGTCCTGTTCTTCTTCTTCTTTTCTTCTTCTTCTTCTTCTTCATTCTTTCTTCTTCTTCTTCTTCTCTTCTTCTCTTCTTCTTCTTCTTCTTCTTCTTCTTCTTCTCTTCTTCTTCTTCTTCTTCTTCTTCTTCTTCTTCTTCTATCTTCTTCTTCTTCTTCTTCTTCTTCTTTCTCTTCTTCTTCTCTCCTCCTCCTCCTCCTCCTCTCTTTCTTCTTCCTCTCTTTATTCCTCTTCCTCCTCCTCCTCCTCTTCTTCTCTTCGTCTTCATCTTCTTTTCTTCATTCCTTTCTTCTTCTTCTTCGTCTTATTAGTCTTCTTCTCTACGT